CGGTGAACGTTAGGTAGCCGTTGTTGTTCACCTAAAATTTAGGACCACAATTATTCAAAAGTATTTTAAAGATAATTTAGAAGAAACGAGGGGTATGTAAATAACTTGTAACTTAAATGGTACGGGAAAGGTAATGCTTACGAAGATCTGATTGTATGTGCGTCCAAAGTATTTGAAAGGCTGCCGCAAGAAAATGACATCCGAGCTTCCGTCCTCAGCAGGGCGGCTCATAATTTCTCCATCTCCAGAAGAGAGGAAATTAGTTGGCACTAAGGAAAGGATAAGTGAGAATGAACTTTCTGCTTCTGCTGAAGAAACAAGCTCTCAAATGATGCAGGTTAAGCTTGCGGAATCTAGAGAGGGGTTGTAAGCAAACAGTGGCTCAGTAAACGTCAGATAGTTAGATAGATGTTCACCTAAAATTAAGGACCAATTTTTTTCAAAAGGGTTTTAAAGAGATAGAATGTATATAAATAACATGGTGTAAATGGTTGAGAAATACATAATGCTTACAAATATCTGACTGTATGTGCAATCAAAGTATTTGAAACCCTGGTGCACCATAATGGCTTCAGAGCTTATATTATCAGCAATGGTTTTCACTATATTTGCTTCTTCAAAAATCTAGAAATTTAGTAGGCACTTGGCAAAGTATATGTTACAATGACTTTTTTATTTCTTCTAATGAAACTTAAACTCAGAAATGTTACTTTTGAAACATTGGCTTACAGTTCGGTGAGCCATCAACATGGAAAGCCCAATGACCATTCACATTGATATTGCTGCTGGATGACAGTTCTGGGGCACTTTTTACTGGAATAGTGTAAGAATTGACAGAGTCCACAGTATGATAACCAGCCTGTAGAAGTAAACAGCATTTTTTAAATTCTCAACCTTTACAAAACAAAGCTTTGTTTTCTTATTAGAAGTACTGATTGAATAGATCAAATAATTTTCTTTCCTTTGATTTAATTTTGTAATCTTTAAAAAATGTAAAAACCACTCACCAGCCAACTTTGTGTTGTTGCAGCAACATCACCATAATTGATCAGAATGAAAGAGCGATGAACACTGTACGCTAAAACTACTTGGAAATTGACCACCTTCACAACATAAATAGACATCATTATAAATAAGTAAATAAATCAATCAAAATGAAAGATATCATTTACTGATAAGCTTTGTTTACTTAAGTCTTACCCCTCCACCATTATAGTATGGTACACTGTCCCAGGTAGCCACAAAAGCTGATGTAGCAGCAAATGGTATGTTGGGGAAGTATTGCTTAACAGCTGCAGTGACTTGTGCCAGTACAGCAGTGCTTGTATCCTCTCTATAGGAGATAGATCCACCACGTCGATTGTCAAGGTCAGTCCACAGAGGGGCAATGATGTCTCTGTCAGACTTCAAAATTGGGTTGTAGGAATACAGTGGTTCAGTAAATGTCAGATGGCCATTGTTGTTCACCTAAAATTGAGAACAAGTTATCAAATCAAAATGTTTGACCAAACTAAATATGAATGACGCTGTGCACTGCAAAAAGACCTATGAAAAATGAGAACCAATTGATATATAACCATATAGTTAAATAAATCTGCAACCACAAATAGAACTTCAAATGCTTACAAAGATATGATTGTATGTGCTTCCGAAGTATTTGAAAGGTTGTTGTAAGGAAATGGCTTGAGAGCTTCCATCGTCCGATATGGGGTTTAGTGTGTCTCCAACCCCAAAAGGCAGGAGATTAGCTGTTGTTGAAGGCATTGTAAATGATAATACATCATGATGAATCTTCAGAGAAACATTCAAATTACCAGTTCTATATCAATTTTCTATTTGAATCTTAAATTATACAGCAGTATATGCAGGGTCATTATTAGGCTTTGGCTATTTATCTGTTTCAGTTACTTTACTTTTCATCAAATTCATGATCAGCAGCAGAGCCTACCAAAACTGACATTATTTAATCCACAATCCATCTCCGTTAACAGAGAGAGCCTTGAATTGTGCATGGTCAGAAATATTGCGAATGAGAGGAAACAATCAGATTAATTGGGCTATCCTCAATATTACAGCATACAGTAATCAAATAGTAATTATGAATAGTATTTCTTTATGCAAACAATAATATATTTAATGCTAACTTCTCATTGGAAATTTTATTGAGTAATTCAGCAAAAGTACATTCTCCCACTTTAAAGTTTGTCATGGGAACAATATCATGGACAGCTACAAGAAGAAGAAAAAAGGTAAGAAGTGAACTGAATGTACCTTGGACTTTTGATTAGATATGGTACATTACTATTCATTTCTAAAATGTTAGAGTTTGACAGAGAAGCTGGCTAATAAAATGATCAGTAATGTTTTTATTTTGTGTTAATGTTCTTTTATTTTAGCGCAATATTAGTTTTTAAATCATAATAAATTAGTACATAATGGTGAACATAGACTATTTATTAAACATATAAAGTGTTAGCCACCTGACAAATGTATAAAATGCCTAACGTGGTCAAATTTAACATGGCCAGAGATGTTGTGCAGTTAATTAAATAACAGTATATTGCTAATGTATAAATTAAAAGAACTTAAAGAATGCATTATTCATCATAGTTCAACACAATTTCAACTAAAACAGTGGTCATTTTTTCAGTCACCCATAAAAACTAAAAATATTAATTTTTAACAGCATTATGTTGTCATTACCTTCTGCCTCAGTTATTTCTCCTGGTGGAGTGAAAACAGAACAGACAGTTTCAGAGCTGTAATCGTAAGCTTTTGTATCAAAAATTGTATAGAAGATATTTTATGCCTGACAAAACAGCATATTATTTAATATATAAACCTGACATTAAATAATTTAATTGATTTCATCAGTCACCAGTAAGTTATGATTATTGTCATAGTTAATATCTATTATGTGGCTTACTGGCAAGAAAAGACAGCAGTGCTATAACATATAGCGGGACAGGTTTCCCCATCCTGTAATCCTTTTGTTGGTCTGTCACAATGTATTCTGCAAAAGACAAATATATATATATAGTTTTTGTTAGTAAAACATGTACAACTAAGTAAGCAAA